GTGGTGTGTTAGTCCTAGCCCCTCCAGCGTCAGTTCTAATCTGTGGCGTGTCAGTTCTAATCTGTTTAGAGCATGAGTTCTAGTGAGATTGACTCTAATAGCTTCAATGTTAGTTCTAACCTACTGCGTGTTAGTCCTAGCCCCTCCAGCGTCAGTTCTAATCTGTGGCGTGTTAGTTCTAATCTATTTAGAGTGTGAGTTCTAGTGAGAGCGCTTCTAGTAGCGTCGATGTTAGTTCTGTCGTGCTACTTGTTAGTCCCAGCCCCTCCAGCATCAGTTCTAACCTGTGGCGTGTTAGCTCTAATCTGTTTAGAGCGTGAGTTCTTATGAAATCGCCTCTAATAGCTACGATGTTAGTTCTGTCGTGCTGCGTGTTAGTCCTAGCCCCTCCAGGGTCAGTTCTAATATGTGACGTGTTAGTTCTAATCTATTTAGAGCATGAATTCTAGTAAGATCGCCTCTAATAGCTACGATGTTAGTTCTATCATGCTGCATGTTAGTCCTAGCCACTCCAGCGTCAGTTCTAATCTGTGGTGTGTTAGTTCTAATCTATTTAGAGCGTGAGTTCTAGTGAGAGCGCTTCTAATAGCGTCGATGTTAGTTCTGTCGTGATGTTAGTTCTGTCGTGCCGCGTGTTAGTCCCAGCCCCTTCAGCGTCAGTTATAATCTGTGGCGTGTTAGTTCTAATCTGTTTAGAGTGTGCGTTCTTGTGAGATTGCTTCTAAAAGCTGCGATGTTAGTTCTGTCGTGATGTGTATTAGTCCTAACCCCTCCAGCGTTGGTGTAGGCATATAAAATTGCTTATAGGTCCCCTAGCATAGCTCGGCACAAACCGACGAACCAACTATTCCCTTCGTGGAATAATACCCGCATAATCGTGTAGATCCGACCGGATCTAGATCGCGCGGTGGTCCACGGATTAACCCCGGCGTTGGCAAAGAACCCACACAAGCAAGCAACCGCAAAACAGGAGCTTGCGATTTGTTCACAAGAGGAAAGTTGTAATTTTTAATTTTTTTCTTCTTTCTTTGATTTAGTTGTAACCGGATCTATAAAAGACCGGATCTTTGTAACCCAAGATGACAATTATCTCATTAATGAAGAAAGCTACAGTTTTCCACGCGAACAGTCGGTTCTAATCTGTGGCATTTTAGTTCTAATCTGTTCTTCGGTGTGTATCTTCCAATCTTGCTAGTTGTTATTTTACTTACAACTTTTCATCTAGTGTAAGATGGTGTTAGCTCTCATTTAACAAGAAAAAACTTTCAATCGGCAAAAAATGAAATATTTTGTGCATACCGGGATCAAAACACTATCAACATATTAAACACTTAGTCAGCGATAGGTTCATTACATGTTTTACGGTTATGACCTTCCATATGACATCGAGAACATTTAATTGGCCGTGTGTAAACAGTTCTGTTGTTGATACACCTGGTTTTATTTCTCCCTTTCCTTTTTGTTGTAAGTGGAGATATGATCTGTATCTCATCCCTTAGCACGATACGCTTCTCATAGTCAGGGATAGGGTAGAGGATTAGCTCGTAGCTTTTTTTAAAGGTTTCAACCGTCATAAACCAGTCACAGAACTGATAGATATCCCTTTTCATAAACATAATGGTTGTGCATGTATGTTTGCAAGGGACACGGGTTACATCCCACCCACGGTAAGTGCATGTTTTATTGTCTAGATCCACTTGACAAGATCTATAGGATTGTACCTCAAATAATCCTGTAAGGACTGACGAACCTCCAATGGACGATCATTTTCCATGTTCTCTTTGAGGGCAAGTTCGGCTTTTGGGGCAAAGAAATTGATTCCAACTTTCAGCCATGACTCGTCGCTCATTCATACGAACCATAATCTGTTTACGTATGTGCTCTACCAGTTAAAGTATCCATAGAATCCTAACCTCATGTATCCATTTGTTGAATAACTCTGCAACATTTGATGTAACATGACCGTATCTGAAACATAACAGGGAATTCATCAAAACTTATAGTTAGTTCATCTGAGACATTGTTAGTTCTATCTACTTCTGTGTAAATTCTAACTGCCCTCATGCTAGTTCTAGCTATTGTCGTGTTAGTTTTAGGTGTTAACAGTTAGTTCTATCTCTAGATAACTTTAAGTTCTATTCTAAGTGTTGGTTCTATTGGATATGTTAGTTCTGGCTGTGTTATTGTTAATTCTATTGCAGAATTTCACGTCTAGATTCATTAGACAAGTGGCTTATAATAGATAAGTAATGAAATAGCTTATAACTTACCTAACTCCAGGGGAAAACGCATTAGCCCAGTTCTCTAGAGCATAGTCCATCACAATATTGTATGCTCTTTCGTCAACAAGTCTAATGTCGTCCATATAATCGTTCAATTCTGCTCTAGTATATTTGTAACAGGAAAATTGCAATAGATTACCCAAGATCTGAGTATCCTTTAATTTGAATCCCAAATCTTTCAACTTTATCCTAAAGTTCTCAACTAGATGCAGCACACATCGAGAGTGTATAGAATCTGGGAAAAAATTCTCTAACTGCTTCTCTGATCCCCTTATACGTATCTAAAATTATCACTAGCTTGTGTGGAGGGTTATATGGATCTAGCCTTTCATAGAGAATAGACCACAAACCTACAAAGAGTTGTGGTTACCATACACGAATTAGAGTTAACAAGGAAAGAGATAGAACTATCATAACCTACAATAGAACTAACATTGCTCGGGATAGAACTAACCTTATAAGAACCACTTCCAGTTAACGTTATTTTTCTGATCGCATATGCAATAGGCCAATGGAAATATCCCCTGATTTCTATCATATGCTACGACACTTAGGAGTATACATTTGAATCGATCTTTCAGTAAGGTACCATCCAAAAATACAAGTTGTCTACATCCGTGTAAAAAATCATTTATGCAGGTGGCATAGCAGATGAATAGCTTTGAAAACCTCCCCTCATGTTGTTCAACATGAATGTAGCTACCTGAGTTCGTCTTCTTGACCTCTTCTACATACCTAAAAAATTGAAGATTAAGCTTTAGTACCAACATTGCAAAATTAGTATAAACAACATCACATAAATAAAAATAGTTTGTCTATTGTAGATATCATCTTCTATTTACCATCGTAATTGATCGTAGGACTCATGGGCATCACCATATAATTGCTCTTGTGCTCTTTCTTTACCCCACCAAATCTTACTATAATCGACCCTAATCCCATACGAACTTAGAAACTCCTTTTGAACGTCAATAGGTCGTATATCCGATCGTACCTTTAACGTGGGTTGTAATTGGGTAGCAATGAATTGCCCTGCATTATTACAATCCCACAATTGTGATTGTCCACGAACCTTTTATTTCAAGTCTATTATCATTTTTCTGTGGAGAGGCAAATAACATCCACATGCAATTTTTGGCTTCCTTAAACTGACAAAAAACTTGAATACGCTTCAGTTCATTCTTCCCAAACTCATATTCGAATTTTTTCGCCATGGAGTAATATAGCAAGGCCAATCTTAGCTCCTTTGCACTTTCAAATCGTTATCCCTCACCGGTTAAAGCTGTGTGCCACCAAGCAAGAATCCTCTCTGATCTTCTAATCATGTCATCAATCTTCAAAACATTATCTCCGGAAGGATTGTCATTGAGATTCTTATCTGGAACACTTGTGGACGACAACACCGTAGGGCCACAATCTGTACTTTTTGAGTTCAAACCGCTGGAAGCGCTACAAATATTAAGAACATAATAAATAATCATAAACTACATACTGCTTGCAGTTAGAATCAATTAGAACTAGAAAGAACTTACAAGAAAACCATAAGAGCTAACAGTTCATTGATTAGAACTAACATACTCGAACACAAATTGAACTTGAGCTAAAATTAACAATAAATTGTATAGAACTGACATAATAGCTATTAGAACTAACAATATAACCATTAGGACTAACAAGACATAGATTAGAACTAACAAACTTTGCAGTGCTTCCAGCATATGGAACTAGATATAGAACTAGCAATAAATCTAGTAGAATTAACAAAATAGCGATTAGAACTAACAAAGAAACCATTAGAACTAACATATGGAGCCTAACAAAGAATTGCTTAACGATAAATCGATTAGAACTAACAGGACCAATATTACAACTAACATACGATCAGGTTAGAACTGAAGTCCAGTTAAACCTAATAAGAAGACAATTAGAACTAATAAGAAGACGATTAGAAATATTTGATTTTACAGTTAACCTACATGTTTTGTCGGACTTGCTCGTTTTCTTGTTTATTCGAAGAATCATCTGCTTCTTTAAAAGCTTGCATGTGAACATCTTTCAGTCCAAGATTGTGGCAATACTCAACCATAGACGTTAGATCCCCCTCGTTCTCAATGAGAAATTTTAAGATTCCAACTGTTTCATCTTCGTATGCCAAAATTAACGACTCATATGGAAGATCTAACCTCTAGGACATATCAAACTTGAGATCCAAGATGGTGGTTGAAGAGTTAATCTTTAAGAATACCGCTTTATACCCCGAAGAGACAATGCAGATGATGTCATTCTCAACCATTTTGAAGGGAATGTAAGAGTAATGGAGAGAATTTTTGTCTGAGGAGTAATGAATAACTAAATAGTTATTGCTCATGATGGAGTAAAAAAAGAGGAAAATTTTCCTCCATTTTTTTCATCATATCGCATTAATGAGAAGTGACTACTGTTTCGGGACGAGGCCTCGTCTGGGGAAGAAAGAGAAGGACAATATCTGTTTTTTTACAAAATACAATCTGCTTTTAGTATATGCTGACGTGGAGGGGGCTTGAAACATTAAACTTCACTTTTTGGGGCTATTCCACATGGAGCAAAATACAAGGGGCTCGTCACACGAAGTTCTAACTTTCGGGGCCTAGATACATTTTTCCCTAAAGACTATTTTGAAAATTTCTCCACCCTTAAAAAGATCATAAGTATATCTATCTCTGTCCGGGAAAAATAATGCTCGAGTGCTTTCCTATCCAGCCACTTCGGAAACAGTGCAAAACATTCGACCCCATCACTCGAGAATAGATAAAAGCATCAAGCAGCTCTGCCTCCTGAAGATTCTCTCCGCCATCTCAACATCCTCCTCTATCTGTACGCTAATTCCCAAATGCCTCTCAAACTCTCCCCATCTCTTCTCAGCTCCTTCATCATCACCATCATCTTCTTCTCAGAGCCAATATCCTCCTCGATCTCCTCCGATGACCCAGTATGGAGAACAATAGAGGAGTTCTCAGGCTACCCAACTCACCCAACATCAGCCAGCTTGCCTTCTCCTTCATTCTCAGTCGACACTGAAACCTTGCAGAATCAGGTAAAATCAAAGAGTCTATACGAAAAAGGGATGATTTTTGTTTTTATTGCGAGATGGGTACTTGAGATTTCTCTGTGTTTTTGTTTGTTAACAGTGATATGGGTAGTTTTGACTTTGTTGGGTTTTCTGCAGATCGATGAGTTGGCGACCTTTTCGGATGTTCCGGCTCCTGCGGTGACTAGGGTTTTGTACAGCGATAAGGATGTATTGGCTCGAAGGTAAATCAGTTGAATTTTTGTGGTATTGGTGCTTACTTGATTTTGTAACTTTTTACTGTTCCATTTTTTTTGCCCTTTCCATTAAGCACGCAACCTTATAGTTTTTTGAGACTCTAGAACGTGCATTTCAGGTCAACATGTATCACTTATCTAATCTAGTAGATGAGCATAGACATAATAAAATACAGAGTATAGGTGGAGCAAAGATCATATGCATAAGATCTACGATCAAATGTGATATACCTTACTTCAGATCGTCTCTTCTTGTGATGCCATACAATTCGCACTTTTTCTAGAATACAGTCGGAGGATAAGTACACTTAGAGATCCCCAAATAATCACCTTGCTAATTTCTTTGTGTTTGACAACCAGGAAGTAAGTTGGGAGTGAAATTTAAGAGAAAGTACTTCCTTGAGAAGGTACTTTCTCATTACTTTCCTTATCGCTAAACAAGTGTTTTTGAAAGTTGGGAGTGAAATCTAAGTGTCTGAAAGGAACTTTCTCATTACTTTCTATCACTGCTAAACAAGTGTTTGGCTTTTCAATTTTTGGTCCACTTCTCCTTCAATCGCCGACTGCCAAACCAGTGTTTGGCAATCAGAAAGTAAATGGAAAGCTGACAAAAAAAATTGGAAAATGGTCCCCATGTACTTTTTTATGTTTGGCAAGTGGAAAGTTATTTGAAAGTAAATGGTGCCCCATCAACATTTTAACCCTTTTCACTTTCTCAAATTTTTATGGAAGTGTACGGAATGTGAAGTAGGAGAGAAATTAATTCTTTATTTTTTCTCTTCTTATCATTTAATTTTAATTATTTACTTTCTACAGTTCACCTTCTATATTTATTCTTTATTTTTTCTCTTCTTATCATTTAATTTTAATTATTTACTTTCTACAGTTCACCTTCTATATTTTTTATGATAGCAAACATAACACATCATTTAATTTTAATTATTTACTTTCTACAGTTCACCTTCTATATTTTTTATGATAGCAAACATAACACAAGAAAAGTGAATGCAACATCATTTACGACCTCAATTTTCAATTCTCACTTTCTATCATCTGAAGAGTATTTTGCGAATAGAAAGAAATAAGAAAGAAAGTAATTTCGTTTATGGTTTCAATTTCTATTCAACTTTCCAAACATATAAGCAACGAAAAAGAGAGAAGAAGGTGATGACGACTATAGGAGTCCACTAGGGGAAGTTCGGTCATTGAAAATGACCAATAGACTTATAAAAGAACCAAGTCAAGTTCTGGTAGTTTATCCCAATAAAATATTGCCCTTCGGCTGGATTTTTGTGGGTCAAGCTCCTGACTGAGGTTGCTAGGGTGCAAGGGCGGCATGCCCTTACTGAGGGTGTGGAGGTGAAGCCCCCGACCCAAAAATTGATTGCCTTACGTGCAGTTTGATTTTTTGCTTGGTTCAACTTCTAAAATGGCGCAGGATTGGTCATTGCGGAGCTAAGTGGAGACTGCGTTGCAGAGCTGTGCATCGTGAAAGTAATAGTTCCACACAGAAGGAACCCTACTCATCAGAAAGTAACTTAGAACTATTTTAACTCTACCATAGTTGCCCAACCAACTCTGGAAGACTGATGGCGACATGTGCTAGGTGTCAAATGTACTATACTCTCGAGGATTGACCTGGCTTAGCTTCGGACTAGTCACAGGGCTAATAAAATTGCTATAGCTCATAATGCATTTATGCAATCTATCAGCTTTAGCTCTGCGACGTTGACTTTGGTAGCCTCGTGACACTAAAGTTTTGAAAAGTGATTATACTTTATTGCGCAACACTTAATGCAAGTTTTGAAAAGTGGTTATACAGACCCATATCCAACACTTCAGATGTTCTTAGTTGGCTAACTTTTCCCTCGTGGCTCTTAGTCATCTTCTTCTGGCTCTTAGTCATATTCTTCAAGCTCTCGGCAGCTGCTCTTCCCCAATAGCTCCACAACTTGGAGTTTGACTCTTGCAAATCAAGAGTTCTTCGTCTTCGTTGGCAATAGTTGGTTTATCCGGCTGCTTTGATCATTAAGGCTTGGTGTTCTTCACCATTACTGCTCCTTCTAGGGTTTATCTTTGGAGGTGATCCCTCCATGGAAAACTATACTGCATCGATATTTTTCCATCCAAGACAACCTCTTTGAGACGAGTTTGAGTTCTTCAAATAGAGCTCCCCTCATTACCAAATTCGACATTAACAATAAATTAAACAACTTTGTTCATGTGGTCAATAGAGTCAAAACTGTCTCTTTTGGCACATCTTCCTAGAACCAAACTTGTTATTTTTTTCATTTTTGAATCAAGAACTGAACAATCGTAATTCATCATATATTTGTAAAATTGTAAACTTCTTGACCGGAAAATGATAACTATCTATATTTTAGATGTTAGAAGTACCTCTTCGAAGACCTCCGTGTTTACACGCATATTTGGAATAAAGAGTTTGGGAAAATTACTTGTTGATGAAGGGTTAGTACCCATATTTGTACTAGTAGAAACCAAGTAGGTGGGCCCCATCAACATTTTAACCCTTTTCACTTTCTCAAATTTTTATGGAAGTGTACGGAATGTGAAGTAGGAGAGAAATTAGTTCTTTATTTTTTCTCTTCTTATCATTTAATTTTAATTATTTACTTTCTACAGTTCACCTTCTATATTTTTTATGATAGCAAACATAACACAGGAAAAGTGAATGCAACATCATTTACGACCTCAATTTTCGATTCTCACTTTCTATCATCTAAAGAGTATTTTGCGAATAGAAAGAAATAAGAAAGAAAGTAATTTCGTTTATGTTTTCACTTTCTATTCAACTTTCCAAACATATAAGCAACGAAAAAGAGAGAAGAAGGTGATGACGACTATAAGAGTCCACTAGGGGCAGTTTGGTCATTTAAAATGGCCAATAGACTTATCAAAGGACCAAGTCAAGTTCTGATGGTTTATCCCAATAAATATTGCCCTTCGGCTGGATTTTTGTGGGTCAAGCTCCTCACTAAGGTTGCTAGGGTGCAAGGGCGGCATGCCCTTACTGAGGGTGCGGAGATGAAGCCCCCAACCCAGAAATTGATTGCCTTACATGCAGTTGGATTTTTGCTTGGTTCAACTTCTAAAATGGCGTAGGGTTGGCCATTGCGGAGCTAAGTGGAGACTGCGTTGCAGAGCTATGCATCACGAAAGTAATAGTTCCGCACAGAAGGAACCCTACTCATCATAAAGCAACTTAGAACTATTTTAACTCTACGATGGTTGCCCAACCAACTCTGGAAGACTGACGGTGATATGTGCTAGGTGTCAAATGTACTATACTCTCAAGGATTGACCTGGCTTAGCTTCGGACTAGTCACAGGGCTAATAAAATTGCTATAGCTCATAATGTATTTATGCAATCTATCAGCTTTAGCTCTGCGACGTTGACTTTGGTAGCCTCATGACACTAAAGTTTTGAAAAGTGATTATACTGTATTGCGCAACACTTAATGCAAGTTTTGAAAAATGGTTATACAAACCCATATCCAACACTTCAGAGGCTCTTAGTTGGCTAACTTTTCCCTCGTGGCTCTTAGTCATCTTCTTCTAGCTCTTAGTCATATTCTTCAAGCTCTCGGCAGCTGCTCTTCCCCCTCTCGGCAGCTGCTCTCCGCAACTTGGAGTTTGACTCTTGCAAATCAAGAGTTCTTCGTCTTCATTAGCAATAGTTGGTTTATCCGGCTGCTTTGATCATTAAGGCTTGGTGTTCTTCACCATTATTGCTCCTTCTATGGTTTATCTTTGGAGGTGATCCTTCCATGGAAAACTATACCGCATCGATATTTTTCATCCAAGACAACCTCTTTGAGACGAGTTTGAGTTCTTCAAATAGAGCTCCCCTCATTACCAAATTCGACATTAACAATAAATTAAACAACTTTGTTCATGTGGTCAATAGAGTCAAAACTCTCTTTTGGCACATCTTCCTAGAACCAAACTTGTTATTTTTTCATTGTGATTCAAGAACTGAACAATCGTAATTCATCATATATTTGTAAAATTGTAAACTTCTTGACCGGAAAATGATGACTGTCTATATTTTAGATGTTAGAAGTACCTCTTCGAAGACCTCCGTGTTTACAGGCATATTTGGAATAAAGAGTTTGAGAAAATTACTTGTTGATGAAGGGTTAGTACCTATATTTGTACTAGTAGAAACCAAGTAGGTACGAGCTGGTAAATACAAGTACATGAGAGTCTAGTAAATACTGGCAGGTGAGAGGTAAATATGTGAGAGATGAGTAGGTGATAGGTATAATATATCTTAATATTCCTCATCAAACTCATGGTGAACCGAGAATCGTGAGTTTGGATAAGAAGAGCCAGAAATGCACGATGACGAAAGGGTTAGTACCTATATTTGTACTAGTAGAAACCAAGTAGGTACGAGCTGGTAAATACAAGTACATGAGAGTCTAGTAAATACTGGCAGGTGAGAGGTAAATATGTGAGAGATGAGTAGGTGATAGGTATAATATATCTTAATATTCCTCATCAAACTCATGGTGAACCGAGAATCGTGAGTTTGGATAAGAAGAGCCAGAAATGCACGATGACGAAAGAGTTGAAGCTTGGTGCAGAGAAAGACATAAATCCAATTATATTGATGAAGAAAACCCAACAGTTGTAGAACGATATCATAGGATAGATCCAGAAGCATCGATGGAGGAAAACTAAATATCGACTAAATGAATGGTGAGGGATATTGACGTAGCACGATCTATCAAGTCCTAAGGAAAAGTGATTAAACGAACTAATATGTGGATAAAATGTAATTCACACTAAAATTACAGCGGAAAATAATTTTAAATATCAAATATTATGGACTAACAACTAATAGTAATAAATGATGCAAAAACTACAACAAATAAGGAATGTGTTCGCGATAAACCTGAGGCGTGAAACGTCGAGCACAGTCCACAAATCCTAATTGAGTACTCAGCGTTGGAGTCGAATTCCTATTAGCTAGATCTTGCAAAAGAGTTTCAAAATAAAAGGGTTAGTTCAATATAAGATCAATGATACAATAGTTCTAATTAACCACAATATAAGCAATCTGATTAAATGTGAGTAAGGACTTAGAATTGAGTTTTGTAGTTCTCTGTCACTGTGAAATTCTGCAGGGATCATATCTGTGAATGAGGTTGCAACGTTGAGAACATTGGGTACTGTTCACGGTAATGTTTAGGGCACTGTTCACAAGGCGCTGCTTACAGCACTGTTCACTGAACTGTTCACGAGGGCCTGTTCACGGAACTGTTCACGAGGTGTTATTCACGGCACTGCCCATGAGGCGCTGTTCACGGGGGGTCGCTGTTCACGGCATTGTTCACGATACTGTTCACGGGAGGCTTAAAATGAACACAATTAGAATCACTCCAGAAATCTCTTTGCTCAATAATTCTCATTCAAAATTCACTGTCTATTACATAAAAGTTCCTCCCTTTTATAGAGAATTGAAGATAACACAAATCTTTTCTGAAAACAAATCAAATAATATCTCTAAACAAATTAAATCTTATCTAAAAACATGTAAATGCTTATCTCTAAACAAATCAAATCTTAACAATCTCAATTCTATTAATAACTTTATTCTTATCCTAACAATAACTAAGTAAAATCAGGCCTTATCTCAAACTGAATAGAATTTAATGATATCTCAATAAGATCTACAATGCCAAGTCCCTCTGGAATAGAATCGGGTATATTGTTCCCTATTGGATATGAATCTTTGTATATAAAGGGAGAAAATCTTAATGGCGACTAGATCGAACAACGAGGGATAGGAAGCTTTGTACATTAACAAAGAAACTAATACTGATCAATGCCAAGGTCATGCTAAGGAGAAGCTCGTTGCGAAGAAAATCTCAATGTGGAATGGTTGATGTCAAGTACGTAAGTAAATCTCATTTGAAGGAGAGAGACACGAGTCAGCTGAGATATTGGATACGATAACAATGAGTTTTGAGAGCTCACTGGCATGATTAAAGAGCTCGAAAAAATTGGCCAGAGGTGAATGGATCGAGCACAATAAACGGTGCAAGAAAGAAAACTTTCCATGAAAATATTAACACTTGAAAGGGCAACAAAATTAATTGTTTTTGCAAGATAGGCTGATTGGGTTACTAATGTCCAGACAAAACTTATTGCTAATTGATTGTGGGAGAAAGTTGATGGGTGCAAAATTAGAGCAAAATTTATTGTCACTTGATTTTGCTAGAAAACTGCTAGGTATTGATGAAAATTTTATAAATTGCACTAGAGGACATATGTTTAAGAGGGACAATCGAACACCGTGATGAGAATGAGCTGCCAACTTGCAATATTGAGTGCACTAAACGATCGGATACGAGTATCTGGTTGTAAGATTAATTTGTTCTATAGAGAGGTGTATTAATTTTTCTTTTAGTTAATTTGCTTCTTAACTGAAACAATACCCAAGGCTAAGAGCTCCCACAACAATAGATGTGAAGAGATGATCGACAACAACAATGAGGACAATGGAGGCTTTGATTGGAGTTCTCTTTAAGGGAATCTAGTCTCAGTTGGTGATGACCAGCCAAACGAGAACAATCAAGGGAGGACTTGTGGAGCAGTTGGGTTTGCTTGATGATGGGGTTGGGTTGTGAGTGAAGATCAAAGAGAAAACTCAAGAAAGAGATGAGCAATAAGTGCAAGAGATGAATTTACCACCAACAACAAAAGTGGAGACCTCAACTATGGCGAAAGAAGATCTAACAGAGTGATGAAGATGAAGATTGGATCTTGGGGACTACAATAGAGGGAAGCGACAAAGATAATGAAGAGGGTTAAGGTTTGTAGTAGACCGAGTTGCAGGAGAGGGCCAAGGAGCGTCTATGGGGAATTGACGAACAATGAAAATAGGAGTCATTGTCAGATGTTGGAAAGAAATTGGAGATGGTCTTTGGCAATGTCGGAGAGAGAGGATTGTTAGTGGGAAGGCCAAGACCTATTATGGTCTTTGGCAATGTCGGAGAAAGAGAGATGTTGGTGGGAAGGCCGAGGCCTATGATAGCTTTCATCTGCGGAAGTTGGTGGACCTTTCTATATGAGAAGAAATGGTGGTCTAAGACTCTAAGTAATGTCGAGTTGTGCGAAGATGAAGATAGAGTGTGGTGGAGGAGCTGGTCGACATGGAAAGAGTCACGGGAGTCATGAGGACTTCTTGTGTGAGTTGTGTCCCAGAGAGGAGGGAAGAGGATGTGAGGACGTGATCGTAGTGGGAGTGGCCAGGGCTGAATTGTATTGGAATGCAGTCGAAGGTGCAGAGGGGAAGCACGAAGGTGGTGCTTAAGGAAAAGCCCCCTCAGTGGCCCAGAGGTACAAAAGGGGAGAGGTTCTCTAGAGTTGACTACCTAGCTAGTTCTGGTATAATGTTATGAACAGAGAGTTTGGGAAAAAATAAATAGTTGATCAAGAGCTAATACACAAATTTATACAAATAGAAATAAAGTAGGTGTGAGCTGCTGAGCTGGTGTTAGGAGGCAAGTAGGTGAGAGATGAATTGGTGAGATGTGTAATATATCTTAACAAACATAAAGAAGATGTGAATAAAGCCATAGTCGTAGACTGAATCGGATTTCAACTTGTTTTGGGGCGGACCTGAATATGCTCACCCACTCATTTGGGGGGTTAGGTTTGATTGTAAAACCCAACACACAACTATCCTAGTTTTCCCCCCAAATCAACAATACCATAACTTTGTAGTTAGCTGGACAAAAAAGTTCATGTAATTTGTTTTAGGGACTGTTTGTTTGCCCAAAAAAAGAGGGAAATCAAGGAATAGGAAACCTATTTCTAAGAAAAATTATTTTTGAGATTGTTTGGTTGGCTAAAAAAAAAGAAATCAAAGAATGAGAGATGAGATGAGATGAGTTGTCACATTATTATTGGATGATGTGGGTGATTTTTTAAGAAAAATTGTTTTGAGGTTGTTTGGTTGGCTAAAAAAAAATGAATTATAAGAAACATATTTTCTGTAATAGGTTCTTTTCTTGTGTTTGGTTCATTCTTAAAAATAAGAAAATAGATAAGATGAGATGAGTTGTCATTATATTATTGGATGATGTGACCCACACTTAAGGAAATCAATTTCCTTGGTTTTTTTGAGGAAATAGGTGGAAATGAAATGTTAATGAGATAAGATGAGTTGTTACCATATTATTGGATGATGTAGGTGATTTTTAAAGACAAGATGAGATGGAGATGAAATGAGTTGGATGATGTGATCCATTTCTTGTGTTTGGTTTATTTTCAAGAGATGATATGAGATGAGTTGTGGGATGAAAATAATATTTTATTGGATGTTGTGGTGAGTTTTAGGGATAGAAATGGATGAAAATAATATTTTATTGATTTTCATGTACCCTTTTCCGTTTCATGATTTTTAGGAAACCAACCAAACAGCCCCTTATTAAAAGTCCAAAATTTGTGATAGTTTATTGAAATTTAGCTTTCATAGTTCCCTACTGAGAAGAATACTAACTGCAACTTTTTTATTCACGGTTAATTTTGTATTTCAATGTTTGAGGTTTATGACATTATTAAAAGTCTTGCAAGTTAGTACAGGTATGTAGTAACTTGAAAACTTTATGTTGTAGTTCTAATTAAAAAGCTGACATCTTTTCTTTCCAGCATTCAAGCTGCTATTTTGCTTATGTCTCATCCACCTGCTCATCTCCATTTGCAGTGAAGATCACCAAATTATGATAAACCCATAATTGGGATTCCGTCATTTTTATCTTGTGATCCTTTCTTCTTTTCGTTTTTATCTTTGATGAAAAATTGGTCCAGGTTCGAATGAGGAAATTTGTCATACAATTATCATCTTTCTTCTATTTTTTTCCATATTACATTAAATTTTTATTGTCTGGCTGCTTCTAGCTTAATCCTTTCTTAGTTCTTCCCACCCCCTTATCCACAAGTGATCATCGCCGGTTCACATTGACCACCCCTTAATGTATTTTCTAATATGCTTTTGAGTTACTGGAGCTACAATGCTCAAAGTACACATACTGCAAGAAAGTTGAAGAGAATAAGAGAAAGACATGCATCCTCTCAGTAGGTATTTGTGAAAATGTTCTATTGGTTTATTACGAAAAGTCGACTTTTTCCTATAACGTTGCACCAAAAAAGTTACTTTTAAGTTTTTTTAAAGAACTTTATAGCTTTAATTTATACTGTACAGCATTTATAAAGAATATCTAATCGACAAGATGCTGATCCTTGTCTCTTTATTTTATAGCTTCATTTTTGAAACATATTTTAATTTCATGTGAAGTTTTCATAGTATGATTTATGTGATATTGGCTTTGTGTTGACTTTGTGGTCCACTCATTTTGACATCCCATTGGTTGAACTTTGGATGCAGCTACATTAAAAAGCTAATGGAAAAGGCTGGCCTCTCTATTCGTGAGGATGCTGTGGGTAACATATTTGGTCGATGGTGAGTTCGGATATTTCGAATGTACTGTTTTGCTTATCTGGTAGACCTTTGTTTGAATCAACTCTTTATCTAATTGGAATAAACGTGTATTCATGAAAAACTAGTGTTTGTAAATAACTGCTTATACCTTCGAGCGGCATTATCCTGCCGTCCTAAGACTTATGACATGTATTCCTTTGTTAAATACTCAAGTTAGAGAAATCTGACTCTCACTTTTGATTTAACAAGAATAGACATTTTGATATTCTTTTAAATTTTTTGATATAGTAACTTCAAGAATGCATGACCTTGAGTTATAGGTCTGATACTTGAGATTCTTGACCTTGAGTTATAGCTCTGGTACTTGAGAAAGCGTTGCTTTAACATAACTTATTTTGTGTTAGAGTTAAAGTAGTTCAACTTGTTCTGGTTTTGGGGTTCCTTTTCCCAACTTTACTTTTCGCCTTGTATACCATGTTCTTGCTACAATCATAAACTTACACATCTAATTTTTATTTATGCCTATCATGTGAGAGTCCCTAACTATTACACCAGAACTCCAAAGTTATGGTGAGAGTTGAGACTTATATTTTTATATTCTAACATGCCCCCATTGGTTGAGACACTTTTTAAAAGCAACTTTGCAAAAGTCACTTTTCAAAAAGCTACTTTTAAAGCCACTTTGCTAAAGTTACTTTTATATTCTAACATGCCCCCATTGGTTGAGTGCCTTTTTTATTGGTTGAAACGTGGACCCACGCATTGATGTCAATTTTTAGACGCTTCATATTCGTGTCCAGTGGGATACCATGTTGCTTTGATACCATGTCAAAGTCCCTAACCATTCCACCAAATCTCCAAAGTTGTGGTGAGGGTTGAGAGTTAAATTTTTATATTCTAACATGCCCCTACGGATTGAGTGCCCCTTTTATGGTTCGAAACTTGGACTTACGCAACGGTGTCAATTTTTAGAAATCTTAGGTCCATCACCTCTATCAGATCTGTCAACTTAGTTTCTACATATTGCATTGCTGAACTCCTCCTCTTTTAAAAGGTTATGACGCTTTTATATGCAACCATTTCTTTACTTGAACCATTGATTATCCCTACTCTCCTACGAATACTATTGCTTCTCCTATGAATACTGTTGCTTCTCCTATGGATACTCTTGCTTCTCTTTCATCTGTTGGTGTTTTAGAACTATCACATTTTATCAACAATTATATTTTTTTCGCCCCAATAGAAATTTCAAATCTTGTATGATAAATTTGATATAGACACTCATTTTCTAACTTAGCAGATGATAATCTTGTATGATAAATTTGATATACAGAAATCTCAGTTCTGTTATTTATATCATTGTACAGGGTCCCGTTTCTTTGTATTTTTTAAGATTTTCAATTAAATGGGGTTTGTATATCCAAAACCATATAATTGCTATAAGTTTAGGATTTTCTTCTCCATCACCCCTTGACACTGGTCAATTGGACCTGACTGCTTGAAAATCCTATCTGAATCAGATCCAAAATCTTGGGTTTAGAACCTTCGTAGATCCTTGCAGGGTACGGATCCATCCAGTTCCAATCTTTTCCAACCACACATTGGTTCCCAAAGGAGTAAAATGCACTAAACATTAATGAAAGTTTAGTTTATCGTGTTTTTTCTTTTTCCAGGAATGGCAAAGATACAAGTCTCGCTGCTGTTGCTACTGGTTCCCACATCGATGCTATCCCATTTTCAGGGAAGTATGATGGTGTAGTAGGTGTTCTGGGTGCATTGGAAGCAATTAATGTGCTGAAAAGGTATTCACAAACCATTGCTACCTGCTTTAGACACTGAAGGTAGCTGAGAGACTTATTTGCAATGATATTTATAATTATTATTATTGTCAAATGCTTGCTTGCAGTTTTTATTTTAAGGGAAAAAGGGTCCATCTATACTAGAAGAACATGTATATGACCTCATTTAGTCATTTATTTAGAGTGCTGTATAGAAGTGCAGCAACCTTAATCTATGTACTAGATGACTCAACATTGTGCTATTGTTAGTTAACCCATCCATGTGGTTTAATGGATACAGCTGGACACCCTGAAGTGGCGGTGCCCAGAGCGTGTCGCCTAGCCCTGAGCGGCCACGTCTAGGCGCTGGGAGCGCCTAGGCGGCCGCCCAGGGATAAGCGGGCCGCTTAAGCGGCCCGCCCCACTTTTCCAATCTCAGATTTTGAGCTGGGCGCTCCCAAAAACCCGAACAAAAAAAAAAAATCTAACCCAAAACCCAAAACCCGATACCCAATACCCAAAACCCAAACTCAAAAATAAAACCCTAATCTTCGATCTCACCTTCGTCTCCAACCGACTTCGGACTCGTCTTCGACTCGTCTTCGTCTTCGACTCGACGTCGACGACTTCCGACCGAGTTCGTCTTCGATCTCACCTGCCGAGCTCGTCTTCGACTCGACGACTTCGGACCGAGCTCGCCTTCGACTCGACGACTTCCGACCGACCGAGCTCGTCTTCGTCTCCAACCGAGCTCGTCTTCGTCTTCGACATTTCGACTTCAGTCTTCAGCCGACAGTTCGCGTCGTAAAACCCTAATCCTCTTTATTTCGATTTCAATTTCCTCTTTTTTTTTTATTCCGAGCTCGTCTTCAAGTTTTGGGTTCTCATTAATTTGATATTGTAGGCTTGTGTAACTGTGTTGATAATTTTTATTGGGTTCAAGTCTTAAAAAGGTAAAATCTGTGTTGATTGGTTCAGGTTTGATAGATTCTTATTACTTGTGAGGATAATAAGTTTAAAGAGAGATAGTAAGTTTAATCCGTTGATGTTTCAAGGAAATTAATTTAGTATATTTATATCATATTTAGTTTGATCGGCATTGCTCAAGGAAATTAACTGCTCCTAGCCTCTTATGACTGTCATATACTCATGCATTTATTACATGTTAACTTAGTATATTTATATCATATTTAGTTTAATTGTTTAAGTTTAGTTGTTTACAGTTTTTGACCTACAAAATAGAACAATAATTAGTTGCAGTTTTTGAAGTTGCAACAATAACGAATGAAAGTACAGTTTTTGAAGTTGCAAAAATAAGTTAACAGTAAGAAAAATTACACATGTGAGAGTTTATATATTTCTTGTTTTGAGATTCTGTTTTAAGAATTACAAATTGAATATGTTTAACTGTATTTATTATTTAAGTTTAATTGTTTAAGTTTAATTTTAAGTTTAACTGTTTGATTGTTTAAGTTTAATTTTAAGTATTGTTGATTGAGTATATATATTTATCTTCAAGTATCACAATTAAAAAAAGAAAAACCGCCCAGAAGAAAAAAACCGCCCAGAAACCGCTTAGGCGCCCGCCTAGGCGTCTAAGCGCTGGGCGCCAAGTCCGGCGCCCAGGAGCGCCCAGCGTTTAATGTAACATATAATTTGATTCTATCCTAATAAAAGATTCCCAACAAGGCTGTGGCAGGAAATATCTGGCATCTACTGGCATGTGCAACTATTAGATGTTGTGGAAGGGGTGTCTATGCATTGGCACTCGTATAATAGGCTGACACAACATTTATGCAAATAATTATGTGATATGGGCTACCTCAGACGGGAAAGCAAATAGCATCCCTGATTGCTATTTCTCTCTCTAGCATCCCTTTTTTATCATTTATTTCCAAGAAGCATGAAGAATTCCCTATACATGGTGAGTTTTTAAGTTTAGTTTTGGATACAGATATATGTTAACCTCGGTTCATATGATGATCTAATCCTCATAGAAATATTGGTGTATGATAAATGAAACTTAACAAACTTGCTTCACAGGTCCGGGTTCCAGCCGAGGAGATCATTGGAGGTTATTATGTTTACATCTGAGGAGCCTACACGATTTGGAATCAGCTGCTTAGGGAGGTCAGGTCTTTTCCCTGTAAATAGTTAGCAGTTGTAGAGTCATCATCTTCCAATGTAGTTCTTAATTAATTGTTAACAAAGTTCGAACCCATATTCTCTTTCACACCACTCCAAGTTGAAAATTTTAGTAAACAAAACCCTTTTTTTATTACCTTATGCCAGTTTTTAAACGTGCAGCCGGCTAATGGCAGGGATTGAGGAGCTAGCTGATGCTCTTAAAGGAACAGTTGATGGTCAAAATATATCTTTCTTTGATGCTGCAAAATCTGCTGGGTACAACCTAAATCATGAAGACTTGAAAAATGTGTTTGTGAAGAAGGACCATTATTCTGCATTTATAGAATTGCACATAGAGCAAGGACCTATTCTGGAAGAAGAAGGTTGGATTTCTAAATGATAAATCCGTTTAGCTGGAAAATTCATTTACTCTAAAGTACTAAACTATTTGATCATAAGGTCTTCCCATTGGTATTGTGACTGCTATTGCTGCACCTGCTAGTATCAAGGTAGAGTTTGAAGGGAACGGTGGTCATGCTGGAGCTGTCCTCATGCCAGCAAGGTCCGTATGTTCAAATTTCACAACTATTCCGTGTGAGATATGCAACAACTTGTTGCAAGTTTTTTCACTGTTATCTTTTTTTTCAGTATAATTTTTTAAAAGAACCAACAGTCAGAACAATGGATATGAAACGATTCTTTGCATTGTAACATTCGAAGTAGAAAAATTACCTTTTAAATGTCACATTTTGTGTTCTTTCTGTTTGAATGAAGTAGCCTTTATCTCTTCAGTCCTTCAGGTCTTTGTTCATAAGATATATGTGGTATTGAGCTGTAATTATCCAGTTATTTGAATATTTTTTAACTATCTCTAAGGATATCTGCAAGATGAATCATTAAGTGTACCAGCTAGAAGTGGTGAAGTAAAATTGATATGGGCAAAAGGACAACAAGTAAAAACATCGATTGAGGCTGTAAGGATATGATGGCAGTGAACTTAAAAGATGAACCTCGATGAAACTTAATGGAGAAAAGTATTCGTGCAGTCAATCCCAAAGGCTTGGATAAAAGCTTTGTTCTTCTTTTTGTTGATGTATCTTCCAGGGCATTTCATGTCTTTAGGTTGATATAACTATGCTATATTTCAATACAATTTAATATATCAAAAACCTTCTTTCCCTTTTATATTCTCTTATATTCTTGAAGAACTTTGAAGTAAAATGTTTGGTTGGGTGGGCCTAAATTGCAAAACCAACAAATATGTCTGCTTACCAGCCTGACCTTTTTCGGTTTATGCCTAGTCCATTCTGTCATTATCTTCCTTTGCAGGATTTGGCACCTAGGTTGCCATCACATTGGTAACAAGGTTGTAACTTTAATATTTCCTTAGGCTTTGTGGTTCATAGTTGACTCCATTTTGATGGAAGAGATTGAGGAGCGTGCGAACAATGTAGTAACTAGCAGTGAAATTATGCAAGACACTAGGACTGCACATAATCGTGCAATGCACTTGTCTTTATATTTTCTTCCTTTTTCTTTCTTTATAACATTTTTCCTCTTTCTTGCAATCTCATCTTCCTTTGCTGTCCTTTTATTTTAACCGTATATCTTCAATGCATGAACATAGACACAAGACTGATTCGAGTAAAACACAATATAACACCTTCGCGCGCACGCACGCACCCCCACACACACACCCACACACAATATGAAGGAGTACATATAAAATGTTAAGTTTGGCTGAAAGTGTAACCACAGTTATACATTCGACATGGACGCTGCTTCAAGAATAAGTTTCCTCAACTGTTATATATTTTTAGTAGCATCCCTTGATACTGATCATACAGTGAGGGTTACATCCCTTTAAGCTCAAATCTGGATAATTCATTTTAATATCTCACCATGCATTTATTAGCTTGCCAATTTCATTAATATCGGTCGGGGGGTGGTATTTTGCATTTTCTCCATTTCTTTTCTTCATTAATTTTAGTTATCTGGAGAAAATTTCCGTTCTTTTTATATTACATGACAGTCTCCTTACCTTGTCTGTTGACAGAAATGATGCAGGATTGGCAGCTGCAGAGTTGGCACTGGCTGTTGAGAAACATGTGTTAGAGTCTGGATCTATAGACACAGTTGGTACTGTAGGTATATTTCCGGGGCATGCTTCTATGAATTATTTAACATGGTTAACACATGATTTCTAACAAATAGAGAACATGTTAGCATAAGCAGATTTTTTCTCATGATCATGTGACCTTCCATGTTGCTTTTAGTCCTTTTCTAAAGATTTCCTGCTTTGTCTAGGTATTATTGAACTACATCCGGGAGCAATCAATAGCATTCCAAGTAAATCACATATAGAAATTGGTATGTTTCTTCCTTGAGTAAGTCAAACCTTGGATTCAATAATATGTGTATGACAGCATAGCTTTGGTTTCTTTCGATTGCGTGCCTTTGTTAATTATCATCTGTGCCATACTACTGGAAACCTAGAAATTTTAGCTGTAACTAATTGCCTATTTTTTTACTTTTTTATTGTATATTTGCATATTGTAATTTAATATTAAAATATTACAACAGTGGATTCTTAGTATTAAAGACAACATAACATGGAGTAGTAGCATAGAAAATATAACTTATTAGGCAAGGGATATATTGTGTTTTGTCCAGTTTTGATCTATGTACATGGCTGAAAACAAAAGAAATCCACTAATCAAAAGGAGATTACAACTGAGAGATTATTCTCTTTCTCACTCATTCAAATCCACCAGAGTAAAAACTCTTATTTTTTTCTCAAAGAAGAAAGATAAGTGTGCTGCAATGTCTCGTTGTCTTACTCTTCATGTAGCCATATCATACCTCTTATATGGAGGACTAAGTCCCTTTCTTAATTAATGCAACCCATATCAGGAGGTTTAATTGTAAAAAAAAAAGTGGGTTATTGCATTTAACTCTATGGCAGATGTCAAGTAAAATACCATGTTTGTGGCTGATTAGTCAGTAGTTAATAAATCTCCTCCTTTACTTCAAACAAAAGCTAACTATCGTGTCTTCTTCAAATTCTTTTTTGTCTCTCCATAAAGTCATCATAGGCATAAACTTTGCCATTTCAAACTCCAAGAATATCATGGCTATGCTTGAACTTGCAAAAAGGTATGATCTTTGTCATTACACCTGATTTTCTTAACTGTTACAACTTGAATTTCTCAGACATATGACACCTGACCTGTCAAGATATGGCTGATGCTTAGTCAGATGTATGACACTTTGGTTGTCCTAAAATTCTGTAGTCATTTATAGTGCAAGCCCAGATGTTCAACGAAATATCAACCAAATACATTCTTTTACTGCTTCCGCTATTGCTTTATAGCTTGTCACGTAGTAGAATGTTGACTGTAGATCTTTCAACTAGTCGCGCAATCTAAAAGAAGGGGGCATAATTTGTCTTAAGATTTATCCAAATCATAGCACAATATGTAATTTAGTAATGGAAATTCACAACTAGATGCTCCTACAAAAAATGTAGACCGAGGTTAGCAGATTTTCTCAACTAACAAATATCCATTTTCACCTTTCCATGTTTATATATATGTCAATCACAATGTTGACTATATTTGAATATCAGAGTTGATGTTGCATACAGACTACTTCTTACTGTACTAATGCAAGGAACACAAGCATGTATCATTCCTTTCCCGTTTGAGGTGATAAAGCTGCTGAAAGATGAAAATAAACAGCAAGTAGAGGTTTTATAGAGTTGGTTGCAAGCATGTGGAATCACTCAAATCTCATATGTACTATGGATCACCATCCCGAAAATATTTCGTCTCTCGAATCATTCATCCCGTACTCATCTGTTGAACTGAAGTATCAACATATCAAATCTCAATATATCTTTATCTGCAATCAATATCATCAACAATAGAAAAACAAATATACAAATAAACCATCATTTGAAGTTTCAACAGTAAACACAATTGTCATATTTAAATTGCAAAAACATGACTCTCTTATTGTTCTCTTAATCTTTTTTCAACCCTCCTCCCTCTTATATGGGCAGCTAAGTCCTTTTATTGAACACCATCATTTTCATATGATTTCAGCACCCTATCAACAAATTGGATACTAATATTCAAGATACTATAATTGCCAATTGGATTTGGCTAAATGTCGCATGTCAGCAGTCAACAAGTTGCTATCAGATATCAATATTTTTGGAGTTTCTTGCACACATTCAATTTCCAACTGTGGGGTTCGTCTAGCAAGGCGCTGAGGAAATTCAGTCGTATACTGGAAAGATGGTCTGATGGATAATTGGATACATTTGACACGTGATTCAAATATGGTTTATCCTTTTGAGTTAATATGGTCCTATACATATTAGTGTTACATCTTACTTTGTAGATCCTTGTCACTAATAAATAGCATAAGAGCCCATGGTTTAATGAATCTTTGCATGCTATTTTATGCTACAGGACTTTGTTAGTGCTGTTTAGTGCTTAGAGAGGAGCAATATGACGTTCTAATAACTTGGTCTAACAAGGGTTGAGATTCACCTTGATGTGCATGTTGTCACACTCTAAAATGTCTTGATTCATTCGCAAAGTATTTTGACTCTAGCTTCATTATCCGTTAAGTTGGTGGACAATTCAATTGGTATGTAGCTGGACTTTTGACTGAATATGAGCTAAACTGTAGATTTGTTAGTAGTACCTTGCATGCATTAAGTTTTCAAATGAGAGCTTGGTCTAGCAGAAGTATGGGGATGAGATTTAGTTGCACATCAAATAATGGTTAGTGGGTAAACGGTACACGGCTAATATGTTCTGACTTGTGATTCAAAAATTGATGTTATTGTTTGAGTTGATCTCGGACAAATTAGCCTAATTCATGTAAGTTCGAGGGTCTTCACAACCCAACAGAAAATATTTAGGTTAAAAAAAGAATAAACTTTTAAAGGTTCTGTTTCGTATTTTCTCTAGCCAAAGATTTCTTGAAATCAACTGTGATGCAAACTTTTTATATTCAGCTGTAACAATTTACTTACATTTTACATGAACTTATTTCTTATTTCCTGCAACATCCAGTTAAATACTTCCTAGAACATGGTTTTATGATTTATTAATTTGTTACATGTTTTGTTTCTAGATACACGAGACATTGATGAAAAAAGGAGAAACAATGTAGTTGAGAAAGTCCATCAATCTGCTGTTTCTATAGCCGAGAAACGGCGAGTGAGACTGTCAAAGTTCCAGATCATCAATCAAGACCCACCAGCTCTCTCTGCAGAATCAATTATCAGAGCCATGACAATTGCTGCAGAAAAGTTGAACCTTAGTCATAAGTTAATGATTAGCCGAGCCTATCATGATTCGCTTTTCATGGCCAGGTAAAGAGTTTACATGCACAACTTTTAGTGTTATCTTGCATAACTCTCACATCGTTGCTTTATTTGGTGATGCGATATGTTGATCGTGATACACTGACAATTAAATCCTACCTTATATGAGCGAACTATTGTGAAGTGTTATTAGTTTCTTTTAGATTGCAATATTTAGAAAACTTTCTATTGCACTTAATTGTCTTTTCCTTTATTTCTACTGTCCATAGGAGAAGTGATAAATTCATAAAAAAGACAGATAAATGGATGGAAGAGATCAATTTTAATCAAGAGAAAGTTGAATAACAAAGAACGTGTTGTGATTGTTTTCTTTCTAGTTAAAAAAGAAATTGTCATTTGGTTATTGTATGTCCCATTTTGTCCACTCTCTTTCTCCCAGTTGCAAATGAGTGAATTTCTGGTTATGTATAAATCTCCTGTCGTGCCAACACAATTTTGATGTATGCCAATTATTTACTCTTTACCTGTTTCGAGACCCTACTATTTGTTTGAGGAATGGACTTCAGTGTCTAAATTCAAATTTTATGCAGCATATTGAAATGGAAAATATCAGTACTTTATCATCTTATTTGTTTTTTAAGGGT